CGTCTCTGAGTGTAGCATATCTTTATTCTTTGGAGTTGTGTTTCATTCTTGGAAAAATTAAAAGGTACCTAGAAATAAGGTGGATATTTGAGGATTTAAAAAAATATGTGAATGTAGTTATGTGACTCATTTTCTTGAAAGTTTTATAAACTAAATGTAAAGATAACGGTCAAAGTGAAGTATAAAACTACATGATTGAAATAGCTTCATTGGAATAAATTATACTTTCCCAAGATGATTGCTTGAAGGACATCACTCATGTAAATGTTTCTCTCCAGATAATCTACCCTGATTATCTTATTTAAAATACCTACTTTGATAACTGGATTTAAAATAGTTATTTTTAATCAAAGTCTTTGTTCAGTAGATGTTTCCCCATGCCATTGTTAATAATTGCTATTTATAGAGATCAGAACTGTATTAATACCATATATTTTGGTTTTCTTTTAATAACAGTGGGTATGGCTTAGAGCAAAAGAGTGCAATTTTCCCAATATGGTTGTGAGGGATTAATGTTGGATTTTTCTATTAGCAGCCTAATGAAACTCTATTGCATTGTATTTATCACAAAAAACCTTGCAAACACCTATTACAAATAGCTAGTGATTCCAAGAAATAACACACTGCAGACTTTCTTCTGGTATAACGTAAGGAATTTGCTTATTATGCTTGTTTATCGACATCTGAACACTATGATTTAGTTTCTGCTGAAATGATGGTTTCTTTTCTAACAAAAAATGCTAATGAATTTAGGGGTAACTTATAGAAAAGTTGAGATGAGCTAACTAGTCCTATAAACTGAAAAGTGCTTGTTCTGCATCATGCTATGTGTTAGGTAACTTTATGTGTGTGTCTGTGTATATACATGGATATCACACACATTAATTTTTAACTCAAACATTACAGGATAAAATAAAAATATTGGCGTATGTGTCATTTTGCATTCTCTGAGAAGATCGTGAGATAGTTAGCAGTCCAAGGTGCTTCATGGGGGAAATGCTTATGAGAGATAAAGGGAGGAAGAAACAGTTTTGACATCTGCCAAAGAAAAGCAGGAGTGGAGCATGATTGGGCAGGAGAGCCTCAGGCAGTGATACAGATATGACATAGCTGTGGCCAAACCAACAGGGAGCTCTCCATCAAAGATAGCTGATAGAGGAGTCTGGTGTTAGGCAGAAACAATCAAGCTTTAGTACCTGCACCACACTCAGTCATTGGTTGTTGGCAAACAGTGTGATCTCCATGCAAAAGCTGAGGTGGGTACTGAAAGCACTAACAGCTGGGAGCTGCCAGTAACTGGACTCCTTGCAGATGAATGGAAAGTTCTTTCTTGAAGATTGACCAAGTAGCACATCTCCATGGCTGCCTCAGTGTGTGTGTGTGGTTTTTTTTGTGTGTACACTACTACAGTCAAATTAGAGTAGAAACAAGAAAGTTCTTTATTATTTACAGCCTACTATTTTGTAAGATACTCTTGTGTTAAAATCCAGATGAATGGAGTTTCTAAGCTTGTTTATCTTTCCTTGGAAAAGTTACACGTGGTTGGCTTGTTTGGGGCCAACTTAAAAAGATTACTTTACTGGAGTGCCTGGGTGGCCTAGTTGGTTCAGCGTCTGCCTTCGGTTCAGATCATGATCCCAGAGTCCTGAGATCAAGCCCCATGTCAGCCTCCTTGCTTAATGAGGAGTCTGCTTATCCCTGTCCCTCTGCCCCTTGCCCCTGCTGGTGCTCTCCCTCTTTTTCTCAAATAAATAAATAAAATCTTTAAAAAATGATTATTTTGCTGAAATATCCTATACTTTTGACCAAAGGCAACAGTTCTTTCTGTCAGGACTAGGTGGACTTGAAGACCAGGAGAGGCCTGGGAATGGAGGTGTTGGATTCAAATGCCACACCACACACCAAGTATAATCATGCCCCTCACACTCATTTTCCTTTTCTTATTCAGAATAGAAGATATGTTGAAGGAAAAATGAGAGGGAGTTAACAGAGGGCTGTCTGAAATAAACAGTTTATCCTTGTGCAGAGATAAGAAAATAAGAAGAAAACCTCTGAAAGAACTGGATTGTGGTCTTTATTTCCCTGCTTATGACTTATCCCCCACCAAGTAGGTGTAGCATGTAAGTTGAATCAGATATCAGCCCTAGAAGAAACATTTTGAACATATGTTGGACATACTGACCCTATTTTATTAACATTTAAGTTATTTTTATTTTATTAATATTTTATGAAAAATTCAGTATGTTAAATACTCTGTAGTACCAATAATAGCATAAAGGCTGGGTCAGTATAAAATATAAAACTTTCTGGTAGAGAGCTTTATAGGTAAAAAAAAATATTTTTAACTGATTTTACACATTTTTCTGGTTTGTGCCTGTGGAAAGAAAAGTGAAAAAGCCCATGTAACACATTTTGATACAAAACGCAGAGGTACAATGGATTTATAGATATTTTTCTTTCAGAAAAAAAATTCATTTTTACCTCTTTGTTCTCACCAAAGGAATGTTGGTGTCATTTTATATGTTAGTTTTTTAAAGATTTATTTATTTATTTATGAGAGACACACAGAGAGGCAGAGACACAGGTAGAGGGAGAAGCAGGCTCCCTGTGGGAAGCCTGATTCAGGACTCAATCGCAGGACCCCAGGATCATGCCCTGAGCCTAAGGCAGATGCTCAACCACTGAACCACCCAGGCGTCCCTTTCTTTTTCTTTTTTCTTTTTCTTTTTTTTAATTTTTATTTATTTATGATAGTCACAGAGAGAGAGACAGAGAGAGAGGCAGAGACATAGGCAGAAGGAGAAGCAGGCTCCATGCACCGGGAGCCTGACGTGGGATTCGATCCCCGGTCTCCAGGATCGCGCCCTGTGCCAAAGGCAGGCCCTAAACCGCTGTGCCACCCAAGGATCCCCTCTTTTTTCTTTTAAGTACATGTCATTTTTGAAATGTAGCTAGTGCACTGGTAAATAGTTTACGTGGTCTATAAACTTACAGTGTGATTGAGCATCTCAATTAATCAATAGATATTTATTTGGTATCTACTATATGACTCTGAATTTGGAATGGCATTGCATAGCACACATAAGACAAATAAGACATATCCCTTTTTTTTTTTGAGGAATCTTTTATTAGAAGTCCCAGAAGGCAACATTTTAAAATCAGGCAATTGATAATCACAACAAATTCAAAATTTCAGGTAAACTTGCCTTTCAAAATAAATCAGACTCTTGCAACACGAGAATTGCTCAAGAGTTTTTTTCTTGTATAAAAACAACACCACTTTGCAAAAGGCATACAAAAATACAGTATTAAAAAAAAACCCACAAATAAAACAAACCACTGCTCCCAATTTAAGACCCAACAGCCGCTTATAAAACACAAGCTATTCGGGTGATACATCAGTAACTACATCCACCTGTTCTCCAAAGACAGTTCCAGAAGTCAGTTGGCTCCCGAAAACCATACTCCAGAAGGTAGAGAGGTTTTTTCCAAACTTCCGCTGGGGTTCTCCGAGGTGAGGAAGCAACCTCAGAAACAGACCATTGTGCCTAAGTTTGGAAGTAGCAGCTGGCTCTCAGACCCCCCAAGAGTGCTCCACCATCCTCCCCTCCACCACTTATAAAACCACAGCCAGTAGGCACCTGATGCCCTGGGCAGAGTTCTGGAGGGGCTGATCTTTCTTCCAGGCCAGGCTTAGGGGCTGCTGAGCTTGGCCCATAGGACACCTGTTGGGTTGGATGCCTTTCCAGACTGGAGGCGGCACCTGGAATCCACTTGGAGGTACCAGGTTCACCTGGGGCAAAATCCATGGTCAGCTAAGCAGAGCTTCTGGAAGCTCTTTTAAAACCCACCAGGAAACCAGTCCACTTCTGGAGCCCTGGACGAGTCCCAGCAACTCTCCTAGCAAGAACTCCAGTAAGGCCCAGACTCTGGGAAAGAGATCTGACTCATGTCAGGCTGGCAAGGGGCCAGAGGGTGGCTGCAAAGCCAGCCAGCAAGCTCCTTGGAGTTGCCCTAGAAGGACAGCCTGCATGGTTCTAGTAGAACTTCAAACTTACCAGTCAGGGTCTGAGATGAGAGGGAAGTGGGAAAGAGGAAGTGGTATAGTTCTCCCTCTGAGGTGCTTGACATCTGCCTGGACAAAAGATTCCAAACTGGAAAACACCTGGGCAGATAACAAGTTCACAGCCAGGACTCCAAGCCTTCCCCAGGCCGCAGGCTAGTAGGACCCATTTCCCAGTGTCTTGGGGAAATATTTCTGACTTTGGGAAAGGGGTGCTGGAGAGCCCATTGCATAACAAAGGCAGAAGGAAACAAAAAAGTCCCTTGTGAGGACAGAATGCTTTCTCCCTCAGAGGAAAGGGCCCAGAGGGCTTCACGAGACAAAGAATTTCGAGGTCAAGCTCTTTTAAATGCTCTCAAGGTCGCAGCATTGAGAGTGGGAGAAGGGGTGTTGGCTAACATCATTATATATATATTAAAGGTTTCCAACTCCTCAGCTACTGTAAAGTGTCTGTCAGTGAGGTAACGGTCCATGTTGATCAAGTCTGTGAGCTTGTCTTCACCCCAGATAGCTCGTGTGTCTCCTGGAAAGAAGAGCCTTAGGGAGGGCGTCCGGGCCCAGCTGTCCTAGCGTCACCCCAGAGACACCAGTGGGAACATCCTTTCCCAGCCTCAAGCTCATCCGGAGTGTGAGATTTCATGCAGGCTGGAGGCCCCGACAACGTCCACCACCTGTTGCATAGCATCTGTCAGGCTTTTCTTCCGAGCTAGTGAGCTAGGCCGACCCCAAGTCTCCTCGGTCAACTGCCTGCCTGAGAAGCCAAAGGCGCCAGAGAAGACCCAGTGCTCCTGGGAGTCAGGGAGGAGGGAGAGCTGGGTTTCAGGGTTCCCAAGAACGCGAGCCCTGCCTTGGAGGGCATGCCCTGCCCCCTAAGGCCGCACCACCTTCTGGAATGTACAGTTCCGACTGTCCCTCCATAATCCAAATGTGCAAATTACTAAGGGGGAGAAGGAAGGTTAGAAAATAAACTCAGGTCTCTCTGTAAGACAGAGCAGTCAGGCTTTTTGGTCACGTAGTAGCCACTGAGGTAGGCAATTCCCTTCTGCAGTTGCTGCTGCCGGCATCGGAGCTGCCTTTTTTCCGTGGCCACCCTCTTCTCCGCCCCCACCAGGGCTTGCAAGTACTCCAAGGCCTTGCTCAGGATCACCACCTTGGAGGCCTTGGAGCAGCTGGCCAGGGTGGGGGGGACCTGGTCCCTCAGGGCCAGGAACCTAGAAGGGACGTCGTTCCGCCTTTTGCGCTCCAGGAAGTTGTGGTTCTTCCTCTTGGTCACATCCTCGGTGTCAGAACTGCCAGGTTTGGGGTGGCAGGACTGGGGAGCCTCGCTTTCTCCGGGGGGGCGACTCACAGTCTCTTCATCCGCTTCTTCTTCCTCTTCCTCTGGGGCGTCTCTCTCCAGAGCCTCTTCTTGGGGACCTCTCTCTGGAGCCCCCCCTTGGGAACAGCTTTCTGGAGGAAAGCGGGCGGCGTAGTTGTGCTGTTGCTGGTGGATGGAGACGTGGAAGTGCTTCATGCAGGGGTCCAAAGGGTCCGCCCGCACCGTGATGGTGACCGGCTTCCGTACACCCAGGGACTGTCTCTTCTCCACTGTCACGACGTCTATTTCTTCACCCTCCGAGTCGCTTGGGCTCTCGGACCCCGAGCAGGCCTGGGTCTTGGGCTCGCCCAGTGGGCAGGGGGCAGCGGGAGCCGGGTTGCCGGCTTCGAGGCTGGGAGCGCAGTCCGGGGGGCGGGCGCCTTGGGCGGGTTCCCCGGGGGGGTCGGGGGGGGGGCGCCGGCGGCGAGCCGGTCGCTCACGGCTCTCTCCAGCCGCTCCGGGGCAGAGAAGCCCAAGACATATCCTTTAATGACCACAGACATCTAATCTATTTGAAGAGATGGTAAAAATGCACAAAATACGATGAGAGAGAGACACACACAAGGCAATATATATTCAAGGGCTTAACTGTGTAACATTTCTAAGAATACTAGTGGCTTAGACATGTGTGATTTGCGGGGCTGGTTGTAGAGAACTTACAGAGAAGGCTGAATATAAGGCAGACATTGGAAAATAAGTAGGTTTGGAATAGACATAGGAGAAACACAAGAAATAGCCTAAGCATGATTGGAAACATTAGTTGGCATTATCGTGGTTTACAAGCATTGACTAATCTGATTTGGCTGGATAACTTATATAATGAGCAAGGAAGCAATATGAAATAATGGGACTCTGGAGCCCAGATTGTGGAGGCCCTGGGTTTAAACATGGCATAAAATACAACAAGGAATCATTATAATAATAAAATGTAATTGGGATGGGTTTCAATATTCCAAGCCCACGTGTAATTGCTGAGGATTTTCTTTCCATTGCACCACTTTTCCAAGGAGTCACCCCTTTGTTTTGGGAAGCTTATGAATGAATGTTCTAGACTGTTGGAAAAAGTTAGTTCACATTGGAGGGTTTGGATGGGACTCAGTAAATTCCTGGTTGTCAGAGAGTGTCATTCCTGCTGATAGCTCTGTGGGAGATTTGCACACTGCTGTCAAAGGAAGGCCCCCACCAGGCCCTACAAACATCACACCTCACAAGGCTCCTTATCACAGGGATGGATAGTAGGCTTGCCTTGGCTCCCTGTGCTGGTGCCAGACCTTGCCTGGCAGGGTCTAGATGCAATTCCTTTCCTCTCCCTGGAGTCCCAGTTCTTATCTTCAGCATCTCATTCCAAGCTCCATAGATATCCTACAAATTACCCTGCCATTGAATTTTCACCTCCTGAGTCCTGTTGATTCTTATTTACTCTTACTTGAATAGAATAGTCAGGGTTACTCTCTTGTCTTTTTTTGAATGTATTTTTATGGCATGAACTCTGTGCTTTGCTTCTTTCTGAGCATTTCTTTCTGATTCTCAAGAGTTTTTACTTCTCAATAATCTTGCTTTCTACAAATCAAAAACATTTTTTTTTGTTTTTGATACGGGTTTGAGTTTATTTTAAGTTAAATAAACAACAAAAACAAAAATTGAACATTGGCAGGTTCTTTTAATTTTTAAAACTGCTTCACAGTTCTAATCTCATTTAGGCAAAGTAGATGCCTCTGATTGACTGAAGAATTACATATAAGGAAATAAGATAAAAAGAGTAATATTTCAAGTTATTATCTCACTACATAATAATAATAGTTAATATTGATTAACCACTTTGTGAGACAACCTAGGACAATACTCATAGATTATTTCATTTTGATTAAATGATTAATGATTTGATTAATCAGTATAGTTTTAAGGAGTACACACTATTATTACATATTTTACAAGTAAGATAAAAGAACTCTGAGTATCTAAATCTCTTGCCAAGTTTATAGAACTAGTATGTCACTGGTGAAGCTAAGATTTCAATGCAGGAAGTCTACTTCAGAGCCTACACTCTTACTGGCTGTGCTCTCAAAATATTTTCTTTATCAAGGGATTAACATAATTACAAAAGTAGTTTTAGAAGATTAGTCTGGCATCTGCATAAGAGCCTAGAGAGAGGATTATTGGTTTGGAGGTTATTTTAATCTTTCAGTATGTTAAGAGTTGTAGGCATAAACTGAGGTCTTAGATATTTAGCCTAGTGGACCAGGATAATGTGAGCAACATTAAGGGCAAAGGATTTAAGATTCACAATTTGGGAAACTAACAGGAAAATATAGAGTATACTCTAGAAATGTTTTTCAAACTTCCTTGACCATAAAGTTACCTGAGACATTTGTAAAAATCATAGAATCCTGAGTCCAACACAACCAGTCTGTTAAAAGCAGATTTTCCAAAGGAATCTCCTTTTCAAAATGAGGGTGCCAGATGATTTTTGTGATTGGATAAATTGGAGAGACAGTCTAGAATATGCTCTATAATTTTTTCTCAACAGAACCTCTTTATATTATGTAATTATAGTGGCTTTTCTTGACTCACTGACACAATTTACTTTTTTACAGTTACTACCTGATGTACGAAGTGGTCTAGGCCAAAAGTGCTAAAGGTTTTCAGTTCAACTGGTAAATTATCCAGGTGACTTGAGGTTTTATTGCCACTGAATCATTGTTCACAGTAGCACACCGTATTGATTTTGTGCTATCAGATATGTGTATGAAGTCACATGCTGCAATTCAGCCCTCTAATATTGACAGAGGAAAGTGAAATATGAATGCCTGACCCAGATATGTTTCAAAATCTTGTTTTATCACTCAAGTCAACCAATTTTAAAGTACAGTGTGGTAATCTTTCATATAATTTTCTAAATTCCTTTTGTGGACAGTCAACCAAAGTTCCCTTTTCTTTGTGGGCTCAAGCTTTTAAAGTCCAGCTTTAAGAATTAACTTTTTAAGTTGTGCTCAGGTTTGAAACAATACGTATTTTGAGCTGAAAATTCTCTTCAGTCTTTATAATGGCCAGGAGAAATGAATGTAATAACCAGTTTGACAGTTAATAATAGCAGAAAATGTAATCTTTTTACATACAAATTCTCTCATAAATGTTCCATATAATAGTTGCTAAGCACTCAGGAGTAGATATTTCTAGTTCATAATTCATCAAGTGAAATATTGGGTATACTCAAGGTAGTCCACTAAAGATTGGAAGTCCTTTTTTCCCCCACACACTTAGAAACACAGAGAGTTATTGTTGTTTATTTCCCAGATATTTTTAGTATTAATAAATATATCAGAGACATCTCTAAGCATGTAAATACAAAGTTCTTCCTCTAAAAGAGCACACATTACTCCTCAACAGGCCAGTGTTATATCTTGTACAACTCTATTTTGAATCAGCAGTGTTCTAATTTCATGAACTCCATGGTTGAGTTTTCTGGCCTTAATGGTATTGTCTAAATCACCTACTACTCTCTCAGAATTCCCAGAGTGTGGTTACCATTTTAGTTCTTATATTGGAACCTGGGTTTCTCCTTCTTGAGTTAAATTACTTACTGATCTCTTCTTCCTTGAAGACAATTCAGTGTGCCAAAATGGACCCTTGATGATGTAAGAAACTCCTGAAATCAGGTATTAGTTTGCCAAGGCAATGAGTTCCTGTTTAGTTTGTAGGTAATAGCCAGTAGGCTTTTACACTACAGATTCAATATCAGTCATTAGGGGATACCCAGTGATCTATCTTTGGCAAAAATGCCCCTCTGGAATTGTCAAATAGTGCTATAACATTTTGGCACCATTCCTCAAGAATGGATTTGTGCCATGTTGTGATTTGTAGTATCAAGATCATGAGGTGGATCTAAGTCAAAAGAAAAATAGTATATTTTCCTTATAAGATCCATGAAAGTGTCCAAATATATATCACTTATTTTCTAATCCCCTCCAAGTTCTAGTTCCATGAGAGAAAGTTCCATTGCAAGGATTTGCTTTCACAAAAAGTCTCTGGATGCTATTTCAGTAGAAGCAAGAGCCTCCTTTATTATGATGAAATGATAGGAAGTTTTAGATTTCAGGATGCCTAGACAGTTTTGGTGTTGTCCATATAAAGAGTCATTCAATGAATGAGTTTGGATGCCCAGGAAACCAACTTGTTTATTACAAGGAACTGGAACCAAAGGAAGCTGGATTATTTTCAAAAGGAAATGTGTACAATCCCCATAGTCAAGTTATTAAATACCCGAAAAATTATTATTATTTTAAAAAGTTATTATTATTAAAGTATAGTTGACATAAAATGTTATAATTATTTCAGGTGTGCAACATAGTGACTTGACAATCAGTGCTCCCCACATGACTGTAGTCACCATCTGTCACCATGCAACCTATTACAATATTGTTCACTATATTTGCTATGCTGTACTTTGCATCCCTGTAACTTATTTATTTTATAACTAGACATTTATACCTCTTAATCCCCTTCACCTATTTCAATGGAATGCTTTGTGAGCCAGTTTGTGGCAAAATTATAGCCAGCTATTGGACTCATACCAAGGGGTGACAATGACTAATGGTATAGACAGCAATTTAAATATTAAAAATAAGAGATTTATAAGCCACATATTTAAAGCAGCCATAGCCAGCAAGAGGAAAGACAGTAGTTGTTATAGAGAATAATACAGGTTAAAAAGTGACAACCTGTGCTATTGTTCTGGGCATCTTGGGTGAAAGCTGTCTACATCTGAAAACAAGTTGCTTTGGATTCCTGAGAAGTCTTAGCTTGACATCTCCAGTAGGGATGATCTTACAGTGTTTGAGGATGTTTTTTTAATCTCTTCGGTTGAGGGATATGTGTCCGAGAGTCTGTTATTTAAGTGTTTCAATTCTGAGCTAGTTATTTCCAATAACTACCTTATAGTTCAGATTGTGACATGGTCTTTCGTTAGAAAACAAAATTCTGACTTGTTGCTGAAGCTTTAGGGAAGTATCAGAGTCAAATAAATGGTATCTGGAGATGGCAGAGACTTAACATGTCTGTGGTTATTACTGATAATTTTCAAAAGCAAAAGATCGGACGAGAATTCATTACAGTAAGGCCATTTGACAGTGATGAAACTGTACAGTAATACAGTAATGCAAGGAAATTTGGTTGTTTCTGTGGCATGCAAAACAAACATAATAAAGAGAATCTAGCAGTTCAGACAAAATGTCTAATAATTAAGCATGAAGAATGCTTTAACAGAGAACATTTATATCTTATTTATGAAAAACTATAAATACATTTTTTACAGAGAAAAATATCTTGAAATGTAACATATAATTAACCATAGACTTAATGTATATATCATACCAAGACTATGCTAAGCAGATAACAAATTTCGTTAAGTCTAGAGTAGGTCTTGAAAAAAAACCCTCTATTTTAATAGAACTTGGATATGTTTGATGTTCATCTTGTATTACAAACACTGGCCTAGAAAGTGCTA